GGGGCAGGCACACAATAGCTCAACTGATATCTCAAAATCCTGTTGGCAACCAATAGATGTATCTTCTTTTATTCGTTTGTAAAATCATGTGAAACATTTTTATTTTTATTTGGCATGTAAACTATATTATTTATTTGGGCGAACTATTTTGTTTGTTAAATTTTCATTTCACAATATGTTGAATGCAATGCAAAATTGGGCGGTCAACCGGCCACGCCTGCACATATGGGTCAGCACGTTGGGCGTGCTGCCAACCCATATGAAAAACAGGGTGGACGTCCGACCCAAACAGACAAAAAACGGATGAAATCGTCGTCCGTTTGGGTCGGCCCGTTGGAGCTGCTCTTATGTAGTTTGCCCAACAAACGATGACATTTTTCAACAGAAGCACGCAAAAAACAGAACTCACAGGGTAACAATCCACTGTCACAAACTGCAGGAACATCCCGGTTCACAAGCATGATCATCCCAGTCACCAACACACACATATACAGCACACAACAATTGAACAAAATACCAGGGAATTCTTCCTACAAGAATGCTTCTGCTCGATCTAACAGCTCGGCCTAAACTTCAGCTAGTAAAATCTGGGCGTGCCTTCATTAACCCACTAATATTTCCTACAGGTAATCACCTTAGTGATGAACATCATTTCTCGGACTGATCAACGAGCATGAGTGCCCATGATGCAAGATAGACTCGTAAACGTCAGGTCTGAGACCGGTCTGATCTTGAGCTGCCAGTCCTTTCTACCTTGATTGCAAATTCAGCCGAATTTGTTCCCTCTGTAATAGATTCGATGTCCATGCTTCCTGTGCGACTCCTCCGGTTTCTCCGGTCCTTTTAAGAAGAGACATGTTAGGCAAAATTTGTGTTATAGCACACATTATTAGAGTAGGATTTTAAGCATTACCTCCCGGAATGGAACTTCTTCAGACTCAAGCATCCTAGCAACCTGGCCCATCTTAGGTCTCTTTTCAGAGTCAGGATCAACACACCTTAGTGCGATCAACAGAGCTCGCTTAAGAGCCCTAATTGTTGGCCTAACCTCGAGGATTGGATCAACCACTTCTTCTGCTCTCCGGTTGGCTATCATCATTTTAAGCCACTCGACAAGATTGACCTAAATAAGAGGGTTCAATATCATCTCAACAAAAATATATACTGATTTTTTCATATATAAAATACTTACTGGAGCAAGAAAATCACGAAAGCATAATTGTCAGAAGCAAAAACTGATACAAGAGTTTCCATGGACACGGTACTAGACTATCATATAGTTTAATTGCCATTTTTAGGATTTCTGCCATTCTTACTGAAACATTAGCACTGTAGGTCTAAATAATCTTGGTACCATGTCCAATAATTCAATTTATCTCCTGAGCTTCCATGCTCAGTCTACCTAAACCCCTAAACATCAAAACCCAGCACTTTACCCATAAACCTTAACTCACATGTCGTGTAACCCTCTATTCGAGTTGGCGGTAGTTTTGCCACCATGATTGACATGGGTGGAGTGGTTTCTTCACACAAAATGCTGCACATGTTTATGAAGCACAAATGGCTATCTACTTTCCTCTCTCCGTAGTACTCGAATCATCTGGCTTTCTCCAGGTCGGCATGGCCTACTGTCCTGGTAACCTACCACGCCACCGCCAACATATATCTTCTGGTGACGAGCATTGACTGCCATACCTGCCACCGCATGCAACCTGTCCATTTTTCTCAAAAAGGAGGTTGAAAACTCTGGTCTCTGCATCACTGTGATGCACACCACCGTTTTTATTAAAGTTGATGCAAGGTAACAAAACCAAATACATCAAAGAGAAGAGTACAGAACATGGACAACTACAGCTTCACCATTACAATATGTGAAATTAACACCAACGACTAAGTCAGACTTCTTCCGCAGCAACGTCTTCAAAAAGAGATAAACATCGTCACCATGTCCGTTCAGGGATGGGAGGACAAGGATTTTCATCCTGGATGCCGAGACCAACCAGTGAAGGTCAGCACATCAAGAAGAAGACAACACCTTCAACAAGAAAACGACGCAAGCACGTCGTTGCTGAGCCCCACCAATAAAGATCGGAACAAAAGTTTTCACCCCGGATGTTTTTTTTTAGAAAAGGAGGATGACCCCCGGCCTCTGCATCTAGGAGATGCATACGGCCACTTTATTGATTATTCTCGAGGACCTTACAAAGTATTACAATAATATGCCTAAATCCGCCATCTTGGCAACATATGCCACTACTCCTATCCATATGATGAAGGGGTGCTACCTGGGCCAAATACCCGGACCACTCACCTAAGCCTATCATCAAAAGCCAGAAGCCCTAGCCGAGCCACATACCGGGTCTAGGGCATAAACTGGTCTGACGCACTCACATTTGTCGTCGCCGCCATCTTCCACAGGTCCGTCTTCAGAGCAGATATTGAGGCTTCTACCTTGTCAGGCCACTCTGTCATCGACGCCACCATGACGCCAGACAACTGCCTCCACCTGCGCGAGTCCATCACCACGCATCGGGCGCCGAGTCTCCACTGCACCACGCCGTCAAGATCCGCCGTCATCAATGTGTAGGATGAAGCACCGCTCCACCAAAAAAGGCGCCCACTGGTCCCTCGATCCTCGGCTGCTGTCACCGACCCCATACTGAGCTCGCCACCACACTGCCCTCAAGGCGACGCCTTCAAGAAGGTCACGGCGCCAAGGACGCCGCCGCCGCCCACCGGAGTTAGGTTTTCACCCAAGAAGCAAGGTGGTGGGGTGTGGAAGGGCATACCTCGACCGACGTCTCCATGAAGAAATCGGCGCCCACGGACGTCGTCGTCGTCGCGGCCGGCTGGAGCCGACCAGGGGTTTCCCCCAATCTGGATCCCGACCACCAGTATCACCCGCAACCCAGAGGCAGGCCAGACGCCTGCACAGCCAGGGACCGTCGAGGGTGAAACGCACCGAGCAGGGGAAGATGGCCAGCAGCCAGATCTGACGCCGCCAGCCACCAGGGCAGCCACGCGAGGTCCCAGCCCACCGAAGATCCACCGGCCACCCGACCAGATCGCCGGCACCGCGCCCACCCCACTGCTCACCGCAGGTGACAAGGGGCCTCGCCGGCGGCCGCCGCCCAGATCCAAGACCCTCCGATGTGAACCAGAGCAGCGCATGCCCCGCCGCCGCAGTCCCCGGCTGCGCCATGGGCCTTGCCCGGCGGCAGCCTCGTGCGGCGGCGAGGGGGAGAGGGGAGGGAGAGGGGCTACTCCGGCGAGGGGGGAGTTGCCCCCAAGACGCCCACTAGGGGCGGCGCGGATCTTGAAGACGGATCTACCGGTAGCGCACCAGCTTGTCCTTGGCGCCAGGCCGTCATGGCGCTAGTGTAAGGGTGGGGCAACCTGTCCATGGCCTCCTGTTATGCAACCAGACCAGTGCTGCTTCCGGAGCGACACTAGGACAGTGTCTGCCTTTGTTGGCACCACGCATACTACTGTTCCTCTCCTTACTTCCCAGCATCCATGAATAGGGAGAAACACGGTGGTCTGTGCTGCTCCAGTGATCTCATGCAGCAGCAGCCAGTGGGTGGGCTGGAGGATGAATGCTAGTATTTGAAGTTAGGATATAAAATACCCAGTTTCAGAGTTTGGCGGTTTAAGAGCCCGGGGCACTAAAGTTCAGGGTGATCTGGAATTTCTCCAAATTATATGGTGTAACATCCAGAAGGGTATAGAACAAAAGGATGAAATCGTAATGAACAAAGTCTAACCATTTACCTCATTGGAAGAGCGGCTATAGTCAACAGGGTCTCTTCCTGTCACAGTTTCCAACAAGAGAACACCAAAACTATAAACATCGCTCTTTTCATTCAACATCCCAGTATTAGCATACTCAGGTGCAACGTATCTAGAACAAGGAAAAACATGATAAGTATTAAACTCCTTTAAATATTGTAAAATAACGATGCAAAAGACCATGAATATATGATAAATAAGGGTGAAGACAATACCCAAATGTTCCCATCACTCTGGTGGTAATGTGGCTTTTATCTGACCCTAACATCTTGGCCAATCCAAAGTCAGAGACTTTGCCGTTGAATTCATCATCAATCAAGATGTTGCTTGACTTTATATCCCGGTGTACAACTTTTGGTTCTATAGCTTCATGAAGGTACGCAAGTCTGCAATCAAATGAATTTAGACAACAGAAAGGATATGTATCTTACAGACTCAGGAACTGGTGAAACTTACGCTTTTGCAGTGCCTATAACAACCTTCATGCGATTATCCCAGGTAAAAACACCATGCTGGCGCATAGCTCCATGAAGCCACTGCTCTAAGTTACCATTGTTCACGAACTCATAAACCAACATCCTGTTAAAAGAAATCACCGTTATATTGTTGCTGAGGTGCATTCTAAAGATAAAACCCCACAATGACGCAAGTGGTGCCAATTTTTTTGTCTCGGAAGCAAATGATCACAGATTACACAAAAGGCAATCAACTGTCACTAAATAGGGAAGTGTACAGAAGTATGGTACTTATGGCCCCTGAGCAGCATCATATACCAGGCCAACACAAATAACTCATGATGCTCCAGTGCTATACAATAGTTCACTAGTTTTTGCTGAAATCACTAGTCGTCAAATTATCTATGCACATTCTTCCACACATGGCATCAGGTGGAGCATTTCTCTAGGTAAATCAAATTCATACTCAACCCACTTGAACCCACCATCTCTACTTTTCCGTGTTGTAAATTGCATTGCATTTTGCTAAATTGTACACCTGGAGCAGCAGGCCGACAGGGTAGCCATATTGAAAACTACACTCCTATGTCCTTGGGGGCGCTGTTGAGGACGCCATCTCTCCACTCCGACCCATGTCCGGGTGAAAGCCCAAGATCCGATGCTGATCGGGCGTCGGCGCTCCCCGTGCACCGTAACCTTCCTGGAGGCGGCGCCAAGGACATTGGAATCGGATGGGAGGGTCTGCAGGTGAGGGATGGGGGTGTGCTACCTCCCTTTCGGTGGAGCGGTGTTTCTTTCTACATATTCTTGGCGGCGGCTCTTGGCGGCATGGAGCAGCGGAGGCTTATCGTCAAATGTGTGGTGACGGACACGCGCAGGAGGTCGACGTTGTCTGGCGTCGTGGTGGCGTCGGCGGCAGCGAGACCGGGCAAGGCCGATGCAGCAGTACAGCTCTGAAGATGGATAGGTGGCAGGTGGCTGTGGCGGCCTCATACCCGACAGGTGTCCTGGTTGAGGAGCACGCTGGACTGGTGGGTGCCCATACCCGGCAGGCGTCCTGGTTGGGACCTCAGGTCTTAGATGTTAGGTTTGGCTGCGAGGTCTGTTTGGTATTAGGCCCAAACCATCAGCGCCCCTTCATCAGCTAGATAGGAGTAGCGACAGAGGTTGCCGAGATGGTGGCTTTGGTCTTACTGTTGTATGACTTTGTAAGGTCTTGTGTTAGTAATTAATAAATTGGCCGTATGCATCGTCCAGATGCAGAGGCCGGGGGTATTCCTCCTTTTCTACAAAAAACGTAGCAATGTTTGGTTGCTAGCTTCTGGAAATGAGTTAATATAAAAACCACTAAACCATAACAAAAAGAATTGAAGTCACAGTTCCCTCATCGTTTTACCAAGGCTCATTTTAGATAGTCCAGTCCTTACACTAACTTGACAACAAGCTTTTTTCTTAACAACAGACCTAATTTTTGCCTGTTGAGCAGGTGAGTGGTGTCTGCAATTCACATACCTATTCACTCCCTCAACACAGTATCCCAGCAGACGGACCAAATTCTTATGTCGTACATGGCCAATAGCTTCAACCTCCACTCTGAATTCCTTCTCCGCCTGCCCCCTGCAAATCCCAGGAAGATGCACAACAGCACAATTATTGGAATAAGTATAAAGAGAAGAAAAGTACTAGCAAAACACCGAAAGTGAGGTGAGCTTACATGTTGTTAAAAATCTTCTTTATGGCAACCTCGGTTCCATTCACCAGACGGCCACGATACACAACTCCGTAACCACCCTCTCCAAGCACATTCTCCTTTGAGAAGCGATTGGTGGCGAATTCAAGGTCGCGCAGAGTGAACCAGTGACCCCAACCAAGATGAGAGAACTCGGGAAGGCCAACGAGGGGCGACGCGGAGACGAACGCCGCAGGAGAATACGGTTTCCTGCCTTGCCCCGAGCCGCCATCTTCACCAGAATGCACACTACCAACCCGGTCCACATTGCACACTGAGCTTCCCTGGCTCACGTTATCATGATCCAAGGACTTGCTCAGTGCCATATGCCCCACTGTCTTCCCCGGCTCCCGATTCACGGCGTGCTTGTCCTGCGTTGGGAAGCTAGGCTGCTCACGTTCATGCATCGTTTGCGCAAGGCTGCGCCCACCGCCCACCCTGTCTACCGGGATCTCCTTGGAGTAGATGGGGATCTGTGTCTGGCTCAAGTTCTCCATGGTTCTCTTTGTCTTGCGACGGGACGCCGCCCAGATACATATCATCAGCAGAATGGCCACCAGGAGAGCGACTACACCGATTGCAATCCAGACCCACAATGCCAGGCCAAGAACCTTCTTCGTCATCTCTAAACTCAGACCAGTGGAAACCATGGCGGCAGTGTGCTAAAATTTGGAGCTGTACCGCATCAGAGTAGAGCACTGCTAGGCATCAGCAACTGTAGACGAATCCTTCTCCCTGAAGAAGGACAGTAGTAACGCGGTTAGATACAGTTAGGTTGTTGTTGCGTCGAGACAATCAACACATCTCTCTTGTGTTACAAAAGCATAGCATCTCTGTTCTCGCAAGAGAGAGAAAAGAAAAATCTCCTTGGGCGGACGATTTCTGCCCCGTACAATAATTGCTCCGACAGACACGCACGCGCTTTTTTTCTTGTCTGTAAGATGCATCGATCTGAGGACCGAATGCTAGAATGGAGAGGGAAGAAGGGAAGGAAGATGTCTGATCTCAGTGTGGCCGTAGGACCATTTGAGAAGAAAATTAAAGCTGACCTCTTTGTGCAGCAGAAGCTCCATCCACTCATTCGTCAAGCAAAGAACCTGAAGAAACAAGCAAAGAAACCATCAGAGAGGGAAAGAAGCAAGAAGGAAGCGAAATTAAGACGACCCGTAACGAGCATTTGTTCAAGCTAGAAAGTAGAGACCGGAAAATGCAAGCAAGAACCAACCGCGCGTAGCAAAGCTCGAGAAGAATCCAGCCTGTGGCAGCAATGGCGAAGGGGAACCAGAGGAGGGAGAGAGAGAGGAGATGGGAGTAAAAGGAAAAGGGGGGAAGGAAGGTGGTGGATGTTGCAGGTGTGGCATTAAAGGCTGGCTGGATGAGGCCGCAGGAAGACGCGACGCAGAAACGGGTGAGGGGGGCAATTAAAGAAATGGCGTGGTAGATTGGTGAAAATGGCGAGCGGAGGAGGTCGACGAAGGGGGGGCGGGGCGGGGCAACGTGCTGGTCTGCAGGATAAGGTCAACTGACAGAATATAATAACTGCATGTAGATAGCATGGCGCGGAAACAGGGTTCATGGATTCAGGCAGGCTGGCTGGCTGGCTCGGGACAGCCTTGGCCACTATCTTTTGCTTCCCCCGCCCGCCCGCCGGGTCTGCAAATTCTTGGTGCATGCCGGCCCACGCACAGCTGTCGCTCCCTGCTCGTCAGGATCCTCTGCGCTAGGAACTCTTGGTGGTCTGCTGGATGCTATGCTCTACAATAAACTACTCCCTCCATTTCAAAATATAGTGCGCCCGCGCTTTCCGAGATTGAACTTTGACCATAAAGAGACCGACTGCGGGGAGAAAAAGTTTCATAATTAAAAACATTTTTCGAATACGAATTCACTGATATAATTTTTGCTCCCGCCGCAACCGGTCTTGATAGTTAAATTTACGATCAAAGTTGAAATACAGGGATAGAGGAAGCACTACATTATGAAACGGAAGGAATACATATATTCTGCTCTTCTTTGGCTTTCCAGGAAACATGTGAATTGGACTGAGATCGGCAACCCTTGCCCCCATTGGAAATTGCGGAAAAGAAATGAAAACTCAAGGAAGAGCGTCACGGGCGCGTTTCATTACGGTCCGACGGGCTACGCAGACGATCAGCACCCCTGCCTGCCCTGCGTACCGGGCTTGCGGGAGGACCATCGCTGCCCGGGTAGTGAAATAATAATGCGGTGAGAAGTGGAAAGGCGGACAGGGGCTGTTTGAATTGAGACTATCTTTGTCATATATTGCCATATGATTTTTGTGACAATTGCCTTAGTTGAGTTATTCAAATTGTTAGTCACATTTTGCCTTGCCTAAGGTAATCTTGTCATATTTTTGTGTATATGACATGTGGAGTTCACTGCTCATAAAAAAATCCTTGCCTTAGGTGTGGCTAGAACCAAACACCTACCTAACTTGATCAAACTTGCCTAAGGTTAGATATGGCAAAGTATGACAAGATGTGGCTGGAACCAAACAGCCCCTTGCATGTCAGGGCATCTCCAGGCGCGTCCTAGGAAGGCATCCTCAGGCGTTTTTTTGCGCCGGCGCTGAAAAATCGGCCCAGTCGCGCCCCCAGGAGCCCAATTTTCGCCGGCTTGGGCTGAAAACAGCGCCGGCGGACCAAGGCCGAACCCGGCGCGCTGGGGGCGCCCGGGGGTGCCGGGGCGAACTGGTTTGGCGCGAAACAGCCGTGGGCCCGCCGCGTCAGGGACACGGCTCTCTTCTCGCCCCTTCATCGTCCTCATCGCCTCGTTTCCCGCGGCGAATCAATGCCAAAGCTGCCGCGCTGCCGCGCCGGTCAGCCTGCGCCATTGATGCCTCACGGGCGGCGCAGTGAAGACCGGATGACGCGCGTCCCTCGCCCTCCCTCACCCGTCACTCGTACTCACAGCGGCTAGCACACGGGCGGCGCCTCGGCCTATATAAGACGCACCCCAGCGCACTCGGCGACTCGCACTCTCTCGCCGTCGTCGTTCCTCCCTCTCCTCTCTCCTCTCTCTCGCCGTCTCCAGTTCATCACACCCATGGCCGAGCGCTTTTCAGGCGACGGCGCGGCGGCGAACGGCTTCGGCCGCCGCCATCTACACGAGAACGAGGCTCGCCTCCTTTTCGAGGTCGAGTACCCGGTCCCGCCGGACATGCGGGTGCCCGGGGCGTGGAGGATCAGCGCCGACGGCGTGCCGGTGCCCCCGGTACCCACCGGCGCGGCGCGGCATGCGGAGATTGCACGCATCCGCTCGTCCCTACCGCGTGCGGCGAGGGAGGGGCCACGATACGTCCCCGACAGCCCGCTCTGGGAGCCTTATTTCCATCGCCGTCACGCCGAGCAGCTCGAGGCCACCAACGGCGTCAAGCCCTCCGGCAGGCTCAACGCCGTCGGCCGGCGTTGGTGGTGGGGCGTGCCGGGCGCAAGTTGGAGGCCGTCCTCGAGTACATTGAGGGCGGCAACACGTCGCGCCTCGAGTACCCCGCTCCCCCGTCCTTCTCACGCCGTCGGGGAAGCTCCTGGACCCCGAGGCGCATGGAGACCGGGGGTCCTCCTCCTCGTCCGGCGGCTCCCCCTGCCTCCACCTCCGTCCCGTCAAGCCGGAGCCCCAGGGCACGCCTGTCAGGGCCCGCACCCGCAGATCCGGCGTCCGCATCGGCGACAACGCCTCCCCCACCGGCCGCTTCGTCCTCGTCGAGCCCAAGCCGGAGCCCGGCCTCCCCGCGGAGTACGAGGAGATAGCCCGACGTGGCTTCTCCGACGAGGAGCCCTGCGGTGGGCGCGGGACGACTACCTCCGCGACGAGATGGTCCGGCAGCACCGGGCCCTGGAGGAGATCGCCGCCCGCAAGCGTGGGCGCGAGGACGAGCACGGCGTCGTGCTCCTCGACAGCGACGACGACGACGATGCCCCCGGACCGTCCAACCCGCCGCGCCAACCGAGGAAGGGATGCAGCAGGGACGGCGGAGGCGTCGGCGGGGGCGACAACGACGACGACGACAACGACGGCGGTGACTACACGCGGTTCTACAGCCTCCTCGGCATGTAGAACCACGTGGGCGGGCGGTGAGGCGGGCAGCGAGGGAGACGGCGGGGTAGCCCGCGGTAGTTTTTCCTTTTTTGTAAAATATATTTAAATTTAAACGAACTCGAACGTGTTTGCGTTGTGTTTGCATCGAATTTAAACATTTTAAAATTCATGGGGGACTGTGACTGAGGGACATTACGCCCCCGATGCGCGATTTAACGTTGGTGCGCCTTCAGGGGTGATTTTTTGCCCCTTCTAAGGGGCCAACGGCTGAAGATGCCCTCACAGCCGCGCAGGCAGGCAGCACCGGAGGCCGTCCCACCCGCAAGCTGGTAGCCGCCCGCAGCATCACCTCACCACGTAAACATCGCAGGCACGAGCTGGGCTGCCACCGGAAAGTGGAGAGAAATCCAGGCGAGCGAAGCCGACAAATCACGAGTCGTCCTCACTGGCTCCAGCCAGAGCCAGGGCGGGCGGGCACGTTGCGGGATTCCGTTGCCGCGCCTCACGGGACGGAACAACGGCTTTGTGATCCCAAATCATTGGTGCGGCAGCGGCAGGGGTCCTCCTCTGGTCCAAACGGCTCCAGGAGGCGCCGCTTTTGGGTTGGCTGCCTCCTGCTACGGCATGGGACGGAGTGGGTCGGCTTGCCTGTTGCTGCCATGATGTAGCCACCCAACCACACGTCACAAAAGTGTTACTACTACAGTGACAGTATTAGGGCACCGGTTAAATTTTTGCTCCCACAAAGCACCAGTCTATAAACACGGATGTGGGAGCCGATCATTCAACGTTGCCCGCATACATTTCAAGCCGGGTATCCATTAACCGGACGGAATTCATGCAAACAAGTTGAGTAAGAAGAAACAAAACTTACAATCTTCTCCTCTGTCGCGCGCAATAGCCACCTTGCCTCCAGCATATCAATCGCACCACAAAACTTGGTGACGAAGGTCTGAATGATGTATCATCGATACGATAACGACCTCACATTGCGATCATGGGTGGTGTCCATGTTGTAGGGCGCAATGTGCTTTCGCACGTGAAACAAGTCACGCACACTTGCTGCCAAAAGGTCCCCCTCTGCTCTTGCGTATTAAACCGACGGATACAGCTAACCACGCATCGCACAACAACTCATCTTCCATGGTCGAGTACCTCGCCATCCTTCGTAATCTAAAAAATAGCATGATGTTCAGAAATAAGCTCAGTGGCATTTAACCGAACACCTAACATATGTGGTGACCGCCATGAACGACGTCGATAGGGGGCGGAGTGTATCTGCCTACGGACATGTCTTGGGTGGACGACGTCGTCGTAAAAGGCGAGCGGGCACGTCGGCGCTGGTTGCACATGTCCGGCAATGGCTGTGTGCCGGCCGGGGAGGTACAACAGCGGCGTCAAAAAAGGAGGGTGTGGGTGCAAAGCAAGGGGGGATAAGAGGCGGATTGAAAAAAAATGGGACCAGAAGGGGAGATTTAGTAGCCCGGGGGTGTCGGAGTCCTACGTGGCTATTGTTCGGACTCCCGCAAAGCCCCCCCCCCCCCAACTTTGTTTCCATTCTGCAGGAAAAGCGCGACCGGACCGCTCGGCG